CTTCTAATATGTTATTTTTTTAATTTCACAATCTATTTTTGATTTAGTTTTCAGAATCTTTTTTTCTTATTATTGAAAAAATAATCCTCGAATCTTATATTAGGAAAAATACTTAATTTCGTTTTTCGTTTCATTCAGATATAGTAATAGTCATTTAGTAAATAATCATACAGAGGATTGAATTAAATCTTTATTGTTACGATGAGATAATATTTAAAATATATGAAGAACGTTGAAATGTATACCATCTATATTTTGAAAAAATATTTTGTGAATTATTATTAAGCAAAAAATAACTGCAAACAGTCCACTTTTTTCCAGCTTGGCCAGGCGTTGCCCAGAATGTCTGGAGGAAGACTAGGTTAAAAGTAAAAGAGTCGTCTGCAGACGAAATCAGGCTAATTAATATGTTATTCTAGCGACATTTATTTACTTATTTATTTCCACAAAGATAATAACAGAATAACAAGTTACTGCACCAAATGGCAAATTCAAGTAAAGAGACAAATCATTACAAATGTGTTTTATACCAGAAAGACTTGAATTATTGAAATGTTTTTTGATTCTATCAACACTTTTTCATATACAATCAGAAAAATATAAGCATGACAGCAAAAACAACTTATAGTCCGGCATATAACAACGAAATAAAAAGAAATATACAAGAGAATAAGGGATATTAACACTCACAGAAAAGGACATTTACATTTGACTATTCATTTTCCTAATAGTATGATTACAAAGCATATTATCCGGTTAATCTGGCTATAAACAACCCGTGTAACCATGAAACATAATTTAGACGCGTCTATGTTGCAAATCTTCGGTGTTCTAACATGTTTTTGTATAAAATCATGATGGAAACGCATCAAGATGCATCGATCACTGTGTTTCTCGAATGTGTTTAGAAAATACTCATAGTTTCGGAGCATTTTGTTTTAGACTAAACGCATACAAACGCATTTCAACTTTTATTCTGAAACGCGTTGGAATGCATTCATGTGATTTTTATGCCTCTGATCACTTTTAATGATTGAAACAAGTTATCGCTCCTTCATTAAACGCTATCTAATTGACAGGATCAATAAAACGCGTTGCACAGGATACTTCTGCCAATGTATTGAATTTGTGGAAATGCGTTCTGATGCACTGCTTTTCGAAACGCATTTGAACATATACTTATATAGTTTAGTTCGTGTGATAAATATTTTAATAAGAAAGCTACGCCTGTACAAAAATGTGTCAACGAGTCCAGAATACTGTATCTTCATTGTAACAGTATTGTGATTGGAGAAAATACTATGTTTCATTATATTAGGCTTAGAAGACAGTAGCTGAAAGCAGAGAATGACTTTTCTAATTTGTTGAGATAAACATATGAGCTTTCTATTAACTCATTTGAACAGATCAGAAGTACTATAGGAACAGTTCTTGTAAGCTGAACTGTTCAAATAGATCAGGTCAGATAATTGTTTTGAACAGTTCAACGGATTGGAACTTTCGTCGAGCAGCCCAACTTCTATATGTAACTTCTGAAGCATTCACCCGGAATGCTAGTAGTTTTATTTGGGTAGAAATAGTCATCATCAGGGACGCTATTCCCATTGCCTAGGTTGCTACAGCGATTTTGTTTAAATAGACTGTGACAACCAAAAGAAGTATATGTATTTGAATTGAAAACAATGCAATGTTAGGTCTTACATGTTCCATTAATTAAGGTTTTAGTGATTGGAATAATGCGTTTTCCTTAATAGGTAATATCAATGGACCATCAGTAGCATTAGCATTGTTTGATGCTAATGCTCATTCTGATGGTAAAACGCTGAATGTAAATGACTGTTCACGATGAAATACGACAGAAAACTGTGAACGTTCATTAGACCGTTTACAACTGACGTATACAATGACTTACGATTTTGTCCGACCGTCGTTTACGACCGGGCATCATTGCCTGTATACAGGTATATTTTAAATAGTTTATTCGAAATTCTTTTTATAGAGACCGATAAGATTGATCGTACATATTGGGCAGTTGTTCTACATCAGAGACAGAAATAAAATCGAATTATTCGACTCAGCAGCAATGCCTTCATTAAATCTCAAACATGAGCAATAAAACTCACTTTACTGTAGAACTCATGTTCTCTGTATCTTTTACTGTTGCATATTGTATCGAATTTTTTGAATGAAAAGTCAGTTTCTATTGATTTATTTTAAGATAGATAATTTTAGATGAAGCCCATCCATGTGTAGCTGTTTTCATGACTAATTCTCTTTCAACATACTCTGTAGGGCTGTCTAATTTTATAAAGTATTTAGAGTTGTCGATGTTTTTCGTCCTGTCAATCGATAAACATGGATCAAATTGTATCATTGATATGATGAGTGTTTGCTTCTTCAATTATTTTATCATTAGTATAGTTATAAATAAATGTCGATTTTACGATTTATAACTCTGTTGTATATCCTGATTTACTAATCGACATGAAAATTGACTTTGGAAAACTGTACTAAAAAACTAAATATCGCTGGTTTCTAATTCAAAGATTGTGGAATTGATTCAACTAAGTTTATGGATTACTAACTGCAGTTCAAATATGAGAATTGAGATAGAGTTCGACTGATATTAGAATTTAATGTACTTCTTTTCCTAATATTTGTATCTTCCTCCAAGCAGATGATATATATAGCAGCATTAATTATGCAAATTCAGAAACTATTATCTTCACCGATTCATAAGAAAAAATATTTTTCTTTTTTGTTATAAAACCCAAGTCCTAATATGTGTTATAGCTTCGCTTTGAAACTTCCGAATTTCTCTGAATCAATAGATTTAACAGATAGATACACGAAAACATAGGTAAAATTTTATGCGAGAAATAGATATAATTTATTCATGACAATGAAGGAATTCCGTTTTTTTTCAGTATGAATCGAATCGAAATTTTCTTATTCATTTCAATCTCTGTTCTACATAGGAATAAATCATCTTTAACAAAATAAATAAATAAATCAATAAATAAAATAGGAACTAGAAGAGATGATCTATTCCAATTCGAATAGAAAAAATTATAGAAGATATTAGTTATCGGCTATGTCGGTAATAATCTTGAATATTGAACTATAAACATAGACACATATTATTTAGCTTTTATCGAAAAAGCAATTCTTCGTACATAATGACTACTGAGAAATATTTTTTTATTTTCGAAATATAGAATATTCCTTTACATAAAGATTTTAGTCTATTGATTATACATAATTTCTTTACATTAATTCTTTTTGTTAAATTTTTGAATATCAAACTTTAATTAATCCGTTTATCATATGTAATATAAAAACGACATTTAGTCGCCTTTGATATTTATTTTGTACTATTTTTCTTTTTTTTTCACACCAATTACTAGTGTGTTGTCAGTTTAGCCTAAAATATTTTATCAATATGATTCATTACATTATTTTGACAATGACTGGCGCAATAATAATGCATTATTTTGTATGTAAATCATTCAATGAGAAAAAAAAAGATAAATACATTTTTTATTCGTTTTCGTTGTTGCTTTTTTTGCTTTTTTGCTTGTCGTATGTGTGCACTGATGTATAACATGATGCAGTAATAGGATAGGTAATGTACGCTTATTTATCGCATTTTCTATTCACAGATTTGTTTATGCGTTTTTTTAATATTTATTTATGATAAGAACATTATAAGAATAAAAAAATAAATGCGAAAAAAAGAAAACAAGAATAACTTATTTGGATAGATAAAAAAAAATTGTGTTTTTTTTTTCTTGACCTTGTTTTGTATTATTTCGCAATTAAATTTTCAGAGGGAAAAAGAAGATGAAACTTTTCTAGAACTAAATAAAGAACGAAAAACGAGTTGTCTAATTTATAATGCTCTTATATAGTATGCTGCTTGATGATAGAAATGGTCGCCAGATTAAATTTTAAACATAAAAGCAGTTAGCACCGGGAAATCCACTTGCTGGTAATAATCCTTGAGATTGAAAACCACCGAGACCAAAGTTTGGTTGTTGAAGTCCTGAACCAAATGAACCAAAACCACCAAAATTGGTAGCTCCTCCAGTAAAGCCACCGAAATTGGTAGCTCCTCCAGTAAAGCCACCGAAATTGGTAGCTCCTCCAGTAAAGCCACCGAAATTGGTAGCTCCTCCAGTAAAGCCACCTGGTTGGAATCCCTCAAAACCACCAAAGTGCTGAAAGCCACCATAACTAGGTTGTAAATTAGTAAAGCTTCCTGTGCTCGAGAAACCGCCGATACCTTGACCTACAGTAGTATAACCACCGCTTCGTGGTGGTACACGAATAGTTTTTCTAATTACTTGAGGTGGTCCAGCTGGTTCGATAACATTTCGTTCTTGAAGACGTGGTGGTGGTGTTGTCGGAACTTCTGTAATTTCTTCTACAACTTCAGCAGCTGCACGTTGAATATAACTAAATTTAAATTAATTGACATAGAAATAAAGTTAAAATTATATAGTTTCATATTTACACTCGTTCAAGTACATCAGGTTCTGGGGTTGGTAAACGGTGTCGCACTTGTCGTACATGTCCCTGCATTGTTTCAGGCAATCGAATAACTTGTCGTCGATAACGTCCTTGACGTCGTTGACCACTATAACTTGTATCATAGGATCCATTGACTTGTCCTCCATAAAATGGTACTTCACCCACTGGAGCTGCAGTAAAAGCAACATTGCCTCTATTATTGGCAACATACGAACCACTTGATGATGATGAACCACTTGGTTTTGCATGCTCACCATGAGGAACATCTGTCGTTCGGTATACTGTCTGTTGAGTTACAGTTTGACCGGGCATTTGGGTAGGATAATAACCAGCTGTCTGACCGCCAGCTTGGGCAGGATAGTAACCAGCTGTCTGACCGGCAACTTGGCCAGGAAAGAAACCGGGAGCTTGACTAAGTGCTTGTTGTTCGTAGGGTCCGCTCATTTTCCGTTCGATTTGTGCAGCTAATTTGTCGTTATGTTTAACTGAGACTTAATCTTAATAAATATAAGAAAATAAGAGAAAGAGTGTTACCGTGAAAACAAAAAAAAATTGAAATGAGATATTTGTATCAATAATAATCTGAATATAATTGTGGTTATTCTTATAGCTTACCGGTTGGTGACAACACAATAAAAGCTATTCGAAATGTATTGGAAATGATAGAAAAAAGACGAGAAAAAAAACGTCGAAGGCCATCATTTTCTATAGAAAAAAAAAAGAAAGCAAGGTGACTAACTGTCAGGCAATATCTTACAATTTTTCAAGGGCAATCAAATGTACAAATACAAAAATACTAAACATTAACTAGCCACATGCAATTATGCGTGTCATTTTGTGGCTTGATAGCAATACATTACCTATTCGTCAAAGAGAAACAAGAATAAAATGAAACGTATGAATGACTTTATATGTTGATACGTCTTTATAATTTGGACGCATTATGTCCGAATGTTAAAGGTTGTGTTTTTTTTATCTCACACGTGAATAAGTGACTACTATTAAAAACACAAATAGTTTTTCTTATGTATGTGTACAAAACAGACTATTGATTAATGCGAAATTTTATTTAATGCAGTCGTTTTTCATCAATGATGAGCACGAAAAACGTTTTGACAGATTCTGAATGTATTATTTATTGATAATATTTATGAATCAATGTTATTTTGATTAAAACAAAAAAGTAGAAATGAATGTGTCACAAACTTATTGCATAGAACACATCTTGACTAGTCGATGGTTAAAAATTTACAAGGAAAATCTAGCACATAAGATATTTCATATGAGGAATATGAGCCAGATTTTGATTACATTTCATTCGAACAACTAATTTGAAGTATTGAATATCTACTGCGAATGTATAAAATGTGCATAAAAAGATTTATACTTTGGGTTTTTGGTTTCTTTTCGTAGGCTATAAAAAATCATGAATAAGTTTTCGTTTTTTCATGGTATTTGCTTAACTCTGTAGAACAACTTTAATAATCGATTTCTAATTAATTAAATGTAATAAATCATATTTTGTGCGTGACGTTCAAAGTGGCTTAACTTGAATGTGGTCAAACTATGCCATTGCCATCTATCGATAATATAAATCGAAGTAAAAGATAGATATTACCATTCGTTCTCTATAACAACCATCAATAATAAAAGATTGTCTTGCAAAAAAGAACATTTCATTTTGAAATAAAAAAAAAACAAAACAACAAAACATTACATCATATTTAATATCTACTAAATCAGAAATATTTCTATTTTAAACATAATCAAAATTCTCGTTTTTCTTTTCTAGAAAATATTGTCTCATAAATCAACAAAAATTGTTGTTAATATTTTATTTATATTTTCTTTCATATTGTTCAAAACAAAACAAAATTATTTTCTCAGATAAAAAAAAAATCATGTTTAGTAATGGCTGATAATAATTTATCATCAACAATAAATACTTGTCAATATCCATCCGAATCAAAAAAAATTATTTGTGATTATTTCGACGAAGAAGAAGAAGAATCTATTCCTATAACAGCATATCCTCATATAGAACAACAACAACCATCAATATTATATAATTATCAAAATAATCATCCAACATTACAATCAAAAGAACAATTTAATGAATATGAATACGATGAAGAGCCAGCATCAACATTTTTAGTTGATTTTGCTTCATCAACACAAGTACCTATTCAACGTGTTTCATCGGAAGATGAATTAAATTTTTATGTTAAACGTAAACGTGCAAAATTTATTGGTCCGTATCTATTTGGTGATGTTATTGGACAAGGTTCATATGCTAAAGTAAAAGAATGTTTAGATCGTCGTAATTTATGTCGACGTGCTGTTAAAATTATGCAACGACGTCGTTTACGTAAAACACCACATGGAGAACAAATGGCTGCAACAGAAATACGTTTATTAAAAAAATTAAATCATCCAAATATAATACGATTATATGATTTTATTCGAAATGATGAAAAACAAAAATTATATTTATTTATTGATTTATGTGTTGTTTCATTACAAGATATGCTTGATACTGATGAACAAAAACAAGAAATTAAAGCATTTCCTATATGGCAAGCACATGGTTATTTTGTACAATTAATTAATGGTTTAGAATATCTTCATTCAAAATTTATTATTCATAATGATATCAAGTATGTCATAACAAAAAAACAACATTAAATAATCCTTGACAGAATAATAGACTATCAGGCTTCTAATTTGTTTTACAAATCAAAAATTTGAAGGCCAGCTTCTTTTCTGTTTTGTGTTTATAGTTATGATCTGATTTGTTTACATCGACAAACCAAAAAAAATCAAATGTAAAATTTTTTCATTTACGCATTCATCTATCATCAGCGCTTATTATGATACTTTTGTTTGAGAAATTATTGAATAGAGATGGGCAGGGTAACCTTTTTTCGTACTCTGTACCTTGTAAGGTAGAATAGGAATAACTTTGTACATTTCTACTGTCGAACTTTGAAGAATTTAAGAAAAAATTGCCAAGCAATGTTATTTTTCAAGTTTATACGTAGTTCCGAATTTATTTGAAATGGGTAGTTCAGATCTTATGAGTGTTTCAATCATTAATATTGTAGTCAACTCATATTAGCACTTATTTTTGGAGTTCGATAAACTCTTGCATAATTTCAGCCTACTATTGTTTATCTTTATAAGATGTCTCATACATCGTTGCATTTCTAGACTGTGTATATATAATTCCAGTACCGTAAGAAATCCAACAGAATGGCATTAAACCATGCCTACTTTGTATTTGTCAGTTCTTGAACAGCTGTCTCTCATTAATGTCTAGGCATAAATATTTTTTTGGTTCACGAAACAAACTTGTTTGTTTGCTAATAGAAAACATGTACAACAAATGAAATTAGATACATTAAAGAAATTATAATTAAACAACGAAAAGCATAGAGTGCGGTTCTATTTTGTAAAAGATTTAGATGACATATATTTTGTTTTATTTAGACCAGGAAATCTATTGATAACTGTTGATCACCAATTAAAAATTACTGATTTTGGAACTGCCGAACAACTTGATTTGTAAGTTTGTTTTTTGTTGAAAGAGAAATTATTTCAAAATCTTTTTTTTTTTCGGTATTTAGGTTTAGTTCTGATGATACAACTAAACGAAGTCAAGGTATATAATTTCATAATGAAAATAAAGTAGTTTTTTGAGAACAAGATCTTCGAAACTTTAATTTCTAAATTCAATTGTAGAATATCTGAAGGATAGATTAAAGTATGTGTGTCGATTATTGATAAATATGTAGAATTATTTTATCTTATGTTTTTAAAAAAAAATATGATCATGAGTTGTTTTTACCTTGGTAGTAGTCAATATTATAAAAACAAAAAAGATAGTAATTTTAGTAGGTCATTTCTTTTGCGGACATCTGGAGATTGAGATCTAATTAAATTAGTGTAAGTTGCTGTCATTGATGAATTGTAATACGAGTAATAATCAACTATTTTTCTACGAGTCTCAAGACAATTTAGATTGTAATTCTGATCGAAATTCGACGAAATGTTCTATATTTATTTTACATGAAATGAAGGTCATTATGATGAATAAAACAGTTCAATATTGAAAGACTTTTAAATCTAAAAGTTCAATCAGAAATTATTGAAGTACGACATGAATCTTTCCTACAATTGATTCTTCTATTTTAAACCTTTATCGATTAGCTATCACATAATCAATATGCATCTTTGTAATAGTTTTTTTGTTTTTTGTAGCCATTAGTTCGATTTAAAACTAAACACATTTAGGTACTCCTGCATTTCAATGTCCTGAAATAGCTAATGGTGAAGATACATATAATGGATTTTCAATTGATATATGGTCATGTGGTGTAACATTATATAATCTTGTTACTGGACGTTTACCATTTGAAGCAGATAATATTTATTTATTATTTCAAACAATTGGTAAAGGTGTTTATACAATACCAAATGAAATTGAACCACATCTAGCTGCACTTATTAATGGTTTATTACATATTAATAATCGTTCACGTTTTACCTTAGAACAAATAAAAGAACATGATTGGTTTCGACGACGACCACCACGTACATTTGAATTTTTACCATTTCCTAGTTTAGCATTAAATCGTTTTCATTCATTTACAATGTATGATTATTTAAATGAATTACATCAACCAACAATTATATCTGAGACTAATAATAATGAAGATGAACAAATGAAAATATCTGATCGTTCTATTTCAAATATCAATTCATCAAATGATAATCGACATGAAGAACAAGAACAAGAACAAGAACAAGAACAACAATCACAAGAACAAAATGGAAATTGTAATTGTAGTCAAACAATAAGTGCTCAAAATATTCATCAAACTAAAACACGAAATAGACGTGAACCACGAATATGTTCATTATCTTGATCAATAGTAGATTTCATGATAAAAACCAAAAACAAACAAATTATTTATTTCTCTTTTACTTGTGCGTTACTTGAATGGTAAAAAAACAAAACGTACATGTATACATTCCCCTGTTGTCTTTCTCTGTCTCTTATCATCACACATGCACATTCTGAACAGTTGTTTTCTTTTGTTTATTTGTTTATTTATTTTTTCTTGTCTAAACTTGTTAACACGACTAATGGCAATGCTTGAAGCGTGACTAAATTTCGTATGAATGTGTTTTGTGTACAGTGGCAGTAAAATAATTATTGACGGAATTCTTGTTGATTAGCTGAATGTTCGTTGTCTTGACATTTCTTTTTTAATATTCGCTAAAGCTGGACCTTGTTATCTTTATTTAAAACAAAACAAAAAAAATAAAAACCAAGAATAAATATAGGATAGTGAAGCGATGATCATCATATAAAAAAAATTCTTCTTTAGAAAATCATTGACACATATGATATATCATAACGAACTAGAAGAGTTGCTATTCAAGTCAATAAAAATGAATTCATTTACAATACGTTTATAGAATGTAAATAGTGAAAACTGACAAACCTTAGAGCAGCGAACGATAGAATTATGGACCGACTCCGATTCTTATTTAATTATATTATCGAATGTACAAATATCGTTATCTAATTTATCTGTATCCTGAATAGATCGTGTAAGGTATTTTATGGCTGGTTAAAATCATTTTACAAATATCTGTAAATAGAACATGGTCGAACCATCTTATGAGAGAAGTTCACCAATTGGTTAATCGCTTTTGAGTCAAGACTATGTGCATCATGTAGACTGTAATTAGCTATAAATACTCTGAACAAAATTCGGGCTATTAGTTTAGTCGAGCAGAGATATCACATTTTTACGATATTCTTTTCAGTCAATATTGTAATGTCCTTCAGAAATACCAGGAAAATTAATTTTCGAATTTAGACTTGAAACTTAAGAATATCGAGTTTGTTGGTGTACATTTAGACATCATTTTAGCAAAGATGTATCTTACAGTTATGTTTGTGAAATCATTTTTAGATTAAGAACACCATTTGATACCCAACAACCCATCAATACGTCTTTTAAACACTATACATTATTTTCGTTAACTTAATAATCGAGATACTATTAACGGAGATGAAGTTTGGTGATGAGCCATTTTAAAGATCTTCATCGTTGTATTATATGTGAATCCTTGCATTCCATATTGTTCGATTTGAGAGTATATAGTGATGCTGAAGAAAGGTTTTTATGAAAGTGTTCGAAAATCGTGGTTATAAGCCTTCAATTACATACCACACAGAGAATTCAATTAACAAAATCTGTGGTCATTTCATAAAGAATATCTAATCATGCTTGTACATGAATGTCAGTAAACGATGATATACAGTGTTGCAAAAATATCCTATTTTACTCATTTATTATCGCATATATACTATTCTGTACAACTTTGGCGGTCAGAACGAGGACAGTGTACATCTTCTTTTAAACTATGCATATGGGACTTCTAAGCTTAGTTTTCCAGTTATTAAACTACAAAACCATAATACAATAGTTTTTATTTTAGCTAACAAGGCATTAGTGATGTTCCTTGTATTTGACATTATTTAGATTTGGATAAAAGCATTACACAGATCTATTTACTAAGAATTGAAGAATCTATCTATTAGTGAGCGAGAGAAGAGAAATTACAGATGTTCTCTACGACATCAAGGCAGATAGAATCGAAAGTTCTACTTCAAAGCTAAAATAATCATTAGATTTCACATTGAATCAACACTTTAATAATTTCAACTCTCAATAGACGCATAACTTTGAATTCTATCCTTTGCCTATAGCAAGGTTCATACGAGTGCATGCTTATAGTACATCGTTGCTGAAATACTACGGTCACTATAGTCGTTTTCTCACTTTTTTTTCATAAATTTTTCCTTCATGATCATATTGAGTCGGACAAAATCTTTTTTACACCCATAGTTTTATATCTCGTTCGAATGAAAAATACTATTTAGAATTTATTGTGTTTTCATATTAGAATATATACGAAAGGCATTCATAACGAAATAATAAATTTCATTACATTTATTTTTCTTTTCTCTATATGTACATCATGGCTGTTATCTTTGTCACACTTGGAGTAATTGAATAAAACAATCCTTGACTTTCTTCTGATCATCAGAGAAAATCAAATAAATTATAGTCTTAATTATGTTAACGGTAGCAACAAAATGTATTCGAGAAGAAAGATCTAAAAATGAATTTCATACAATATGATTTATTTTATTCTTGATCTTTCATTGACAAGAGAAGACAATATCACACAGATAATAATAAAAAAATAAAAATAAAAATGTTTCTTTTTAATTAAGTTTGCTGAGGCAAAATAGGTGTATTTTCATCTTCATTATTCGTCAAAAGATTTGTTTGTCTGGCAGTTAATTCATTATTTCGATAAAGTATATAATGTTGAACAATAAAAACTAAATCAAATAAAACAGAAAATAATCCTAGAGCAAATTTAGTCGGTGAACCAAATATAGATGACCAATCATTATAATTTATTGCAAGAAAAAACATTTGTAATACACTTAATATACCACCAGTAAAATCAAGTAGAATATTTCCAATTGACCAACCTTCGGTAGATTTTCGTCGATAATTCATCCATGCTTGTGGAACATATTTTATTATTGTTATAACTAATTTAACATAAGAATAAAAATAAAGTAAATTTAATATTGACAAATGATTTGTAAATGCAATTATTGTTGATATAAATAAAAAAATAATTAATATACTACCAATGATACGTGCACTATAGGATATACGTTGTTTACCACGTTCAAAGAATACACATTGACTAACAGTTATTAAACATGCAAATACAGCATGAACACTGAATAAAACCTAGAATTTATTTTAAGTTTTTCTTATTGATCAATTTAGAAAAAAACAAAGAATTTTTTGTTCGAAGATTTAAAATCTCGAGAAAAGTGTTCAGAAAGAAACCAAAAGAAAATATAAGGCATGTTTGAAAAGCTTTGAAACTTGGCAGAATATTATATTTGCTAAGTACTATCATACATAACTACAAAGTTTGAAGTCTATATTTTTTACTATGGATAGGAATCTGTAAAAATACCATCATGAACTATGTTCAAGTATTTGATTACCATCCTGATCAGCTACTATTTTTAATCGTGCTTGTAATTTTATTGATCATTTGTTGACACAAAGCAACATTAATTTGGTTCCATTCCTTTTAAATCTCATTTTTTAAATTGTTCAATATTACTGTATTTTCGCCCTTCTCCTAATTTGTCCTTATATAAGAACAGGTCAAATACTAACACGATAACAATTAATAATTGAGCAGAGCGGTAATCAAATACACGAATATAGATAGCTTCGTGTGGGTTTCTTTTTATTTCGAACAGTTGTACTGTTTTAAAAATAACATCTTACATATATATTCTAAGTTAAAAAGAAGGAAATCATGTCAAACGGAATTTATAGAATAATCATAAAGTACTTTAATCATTTTATAGATATAAACCGTTAGAACAATAAAAGTAGTTCATATATTGTAACAAGACGATATCAATATACGGTCTGTGGGAAGGAGAAAAGAATGCAAAATTTCTACCTCTACATTTCAACACTCTTTTTAGATCATGTTTCACAAAAGGAAATATTTTGATAGAGTTGGTATCTCAATGTTGTCGTGAACGTAGATGTCGGTGTAATCATTGTCTCAGTAGTAGACGGCTGCATTGGTGACTCACTGTTCAGCATTTACATAAATGCTGCACATTCTATTAAAAATAGTCGTAAAATAATAATCTTATATTGCTTACATCATTGAGTAATACAGGTAAAACACCATGTGGATGTTTAGCATAATATTGTTGTTGAATATCATGTGATGTATATAAACATATATTAAATATTGAATAACATGCATGACCGAGAAGGTTTAATGCTAAAAAATCAAAATTAAGTCCAACAACACTTTGACGACGAAAATTTAATATTATTTGAGGATAAAATGATATTGACCATGCAAAAAAATAAATCCAACCAACAATTTGTATTAAAATATTTAATGTTTTACTACGTGCTATATCAATTAGAAGAAAATCAAATACAGATGATATATTCACTTGTGGTGATTGAGCTGTTACAACAAGATGTCCATGATGACGACCATCTATTATAATAACTCGACTTTGATCACTACCAGTTTGTTGAGTAAATGTTATATTTGGTAAAACATCGATATAACCTTGAGTATCTTTAACTTGATTATTATAAAGAAATTCAATGAATACATCAGGTGGAATTATGTCTGGGACAAGAAGACGAACATTAACTGGACGATTGTCTCCGACTATTATGCTAATATAAGATGGTTCGAAAGCGATTACTGATTCACTTTGATCAGCATATGTTGCTAGATTAATTAGAAGAAAAAAGAAAAAAACTATGGATAGAAGTTTTGAATACATTCAATCTACAAAAAAATTCGTAGTTTTACTTTTTACTTTCATTATTACAAGACGCTAGTTTTTTTATTAGAATATTATATCATTCTTTATATTTCTGTTGTGATACTTCATTTGAATTAATTCAACTAGAGATTATTGTTATGATATTAACAATATTTGATTCTGACTCTCGAAATTTTGACTCACATATTAGAATCATTGTTTTGCTAGCAAAATTTTCGAGATAGAATTTTGTTTTCTTTAAGTCAACATGAAAAAAATCTTTCTTTTTTTTTGTAAACTTCTGATAAAACCTGATTTCGTTTTTTTTTGCGAATCAGGAAAAATGAACTCATTTGAATGGTTTCATTATTCCAACAAATCAGAATAGATATGTCGCCACATATCTTTCATTCTATTTTTATATTTTTTTTCATTCGAAAAATATTCTATTCTTAGACATGAATTTTAAATTTCTTTGCTAAAATTCATCTATCTAGTTTCTATTTATAGCATTATTAAACTAAAGCGATTGTCGCGACTCATTTCTTCGAATGTCAATTCATCTTCATCCGGGCCTTTTTTCCTATGGCTAATGATCATTTTTTTAGATTTCTCATTAAAAATGAAGAAAAAATAAATAAATATCGACTATTGAACATTTTCTAAACTTTTTTTTTATCATATTAAATCATCTACATATATAATTAGCAGCTATTGTCTTAAACTTATGCATATTTATCTTTTATAGAAAATAAAAATTTCTTCGATTTTTTTATTTTTTATTTTTCTTAACATTATGTCTTATCTACATTTGGCATCAACTGCCAATTCATCAACATCATCATCAACAACACCATCATGTTTTTTCAATGTAAACACTAATGGTGGAGTTTCAACAGTACCAACATCAATACCATCAAATTCATCATCCCTACTTGGATCTATCGGTGGTGGAAAACAATGGACAACTATTGGGCAACCATCGTCATCATCGACATTATCACAACAATTACTAATAAAACAACCAAATTTTCTAAATCTTCAACCAACATCATCATCATCACATTTTGATAATTTTCTAGGATCATCATCTTCTCAGACGCAAATAGAAAAAAATGTAAAACAAAACAGAATTTTTATATTTAAATTTTATCTGTTTTTGCATCTAAGTTTGAGTTACAACAAGAAGATTTTCCTCCATTACCGCATCGAAATACATTTCATGAATCAACATCATCATCATCAACACTAAATATTCCATCACATCATCAAAATCAAATATCATCAACAATAACAAATGGATATAATTCAACACAAACACAACATTCGCAATCACAATCACCTGTATCATTTAAATCATCTATTGATGCATTAAGTACATTAATAAGTCGATATCAAGTATCTGTTAATAATAAAACATCAACATTAACAAATAATTCTACAAATGGTTTACCATCATCAACAATAACGGATCAATATGGTCTTGTTGGTCTTTTACAAATGATTCAACAAGCTGAGAAAAATCCAGATTCATCAATGTTACTTAATTTTGATTTAACAACACTTGGACTTAGTATGAAGTTTATTTCATAGTTCTTTCTTATTGAAAAACGAATAGAATCATATGAAAATTTATGTTGATTATTATCGATCGGAACAAAAAAAAATATTTAGATATTTTTACAAAGAAATAATCTCATTGAAAGCTTTATTTGTCAAGTGTTTACATTAGAAAGACAATTGTGCAAGGAAATGCAACATTTTGTATTAAAAAAAAACTCACTAATCCCATAAGAAAGATTCATGAACAATCAATCTTCTAGATTTTCTTTCATTTCAATAGAGCCTGCCTAATGATGTATGGAATACATCTGGATAGTAATTTATCATTTGAGATGAAATAAAAAATATAAATTATTGAAAAATGTTAACAGCTGCTGAACATAGCAAAACAAATTCTTTCTATTAAGAAAATATGTGAATTCCGAAATATTTTCCTTTTTCTAGGTATGGAAAGTACGAATGATTTACATCCATCATTTATTTCTCCATTTTCTGATAATCAAGCTCGAGCGTATGAAATCGATTATCAAGTACCAGTTGAATATCAAATGGGCATGCAAATACGTGAAAAATTACCTCAAGTGAATTTTTCAACGTTAAATGAAGATACATTATTTTTTTTATTTTTTTTATTTGGTAATGATTATGTGCAATTATCAGCTGCAAATGAATTGTATAAACGTGATTGGCGTTATCATAAAGATGAACGTATATGGTTAACAAGAATAAAAAATATAATGCCTGATCAAAAATATGATACATATGAAACAGGTGTTTATTGTGTATTTGATGTTCAGCTTTGGCGTAAAACACATAAAAGTATGCGAATTGATTATGATAAACTAGATGGTAAAAATAAAGAAAAAAAAACTTTCTTTTTTTTTGTTTTAATTTACTACATTTGTTTTTTTTTTTTCTTTATTAAATAGGTCCTGTTGTAAAACAACATCCAGATTTACTTGCATCAAAATTTCTTCAACAACAATATACGCCTATAACATCGTATAATACAAACTCATCTAGATAGTCGCTTTATTATTTTTTTAAATAAAAAATAGTGTATATAAATAAGAAACAGAAAAACAAATATCCTGCAGTTGTACGAATGACGTCTGACAGATAACAATACTTTCTTTTCTTTTTTGGTCTCAGAAGTTGTATCTTGTCATTGTCATATATATAGATGTTTGTATGAGTGCTGTTATTTTACGTTCACTCATTTCTTCTGTTTGTTCGTCATGATGTCGTCATTTCATTCATTGTTGTGTTTATCATCCTTTACTCTTCTACTTACTGTTTTCTTTCCCTGTCTTTTTTCTTCCCTTTTTACAATATATACTATACTATGTGAAAAAATCAAAGCAACGACAAAATTCGACATCGAGATGGAACGAAATAGCTGTCGGGAAAGAAAAAAAGGATTGGATGTTCTTATTTATATATGCAATGAATATCATTAGAAAATGAGGATTCATAAGGTTAATATCAGTCCTGGTGCTGTTAAAATGAAGCAATGTTTATAGTCGATTCACGAGAGAAAATCGTAATAAATCATTCGTTAACATCATGTATTTTAAGTTACTTAGGATACTCTACAACTCCAGAGGTTACAAATTCTCTATTCAAAGTGTTTTATTTTTGTATGCCTAGATTATTCAAAAGTAAAAGGATTTACTTTTTGTTAGCGACGTGATGAAGTATGAAAAACTGCTCGTATAATCGAATGAGAAGTTCAAAAATAAATTCTAAATAATAGAAATTTTTCTTCGGAATCTTTAGAAAACCGATTTTTAAAGCTCGAGTTAGAGAGATATTCCCTAATTACTTTTTAATTTATTAGCAATCAGCTGAAAGAGCCAACATTTTTATATGTGTCTATGCTAACAGAACTTTATACAATTTAACTTGAAATGACTCATATACACAAACTCAGCGAAAACGGACTCTTACTATCTTCGATTTAACTTTAATTCTTTATAAGGGTTATTTTTTGAACAAGTTCTTTTCATGTGAGATACACTCAATTTTTTCAAAAACCTAAGTATGTTCATAATAATGCATCATTTAGTTTTCAAAAATATTATTTGAACTTGAAGAATTTATAAATGGAAACTCACTCAGTGGAACTCTTTTTTTTTCTTCCTTGTGTCACGTCGCTGACGATGGTTTTTTTGTAATAGAAACTTTGCGGAATCAAGGTAGTTTTATTTGACATCTGTATTGATATACAAGATGCTCATACAGAACGAAAAAATGTATATAAACATGTTTACAAACGTTAGTAGAGAAATTTATTAAGATTTAATGGCTATTAAAAGAAACAGTTTGGATTGTTAATGAAATCTACTTCATTTCTAATGAATAGTTGCTAATTGATCCTAGAGTATCTAGATTTTTATTCACATTTGATTCAATTCCAATTAAAGAACAATGAATTTGGAAATAATTTGTTAATATTCGAAACCATAAATACAGAAGAATATATATTTCAATATTATTATATTTGTTATCAAGTATTAATATATGTTAAGAGAAAGTTTTAATCTCTTCAACCATTGTGAAGCTATGAATTTTTGATGAAGATTTTCGAAAAAGATATTCTGAGGGTATGTCTTCATCGATAGAGGCTAATTGTGGAATTTCAGAAATATTAAGATAACAGAGTCAGGTTATTTCGAACCTGAAAACAAATATCATCATTCGACTCAGCGTGGTGAATTACCTCTGCTTAGTTGTTTTTCCAGGTGATCGCAGACCAATCGGCTGAAATCAAGAGTTTGAGAAAAAGTCTTATAACTTCCGAACAGAACAATCTAGGAATGTTGACCCTGCATTGATCGAAAGAGATATACTCTCAGAACAGTGAAAATCCCAGACCTCTACGATGTTTCTATTAGAAGTTATTCAAAAGAAAGTGATGTATATTATATTTTGAAATGGGTAGTACATTTATACGTATATGAATATAACATTTAAGTCGAAGTAGGCTATATGCAATGGTTTAAATGCATTCACACTAACTACCATAAAGCCAGCATTAATACTTTTGCCTTATTTGCAAGTCCTATGATAGGATCGTGATACACGAAATGATCCTCTGGTACTGTTCTTATCCAAGATAATCCGCTGCAATATCAAGATGCACCGGCAGATGCTTGATCTTCTTAAGTCTTCACTCAATATAGAAAATATGCATTTGCTATTATTTTTTTGCATCAACTGTTTTTATTAACTCTATCGTGCAACTTTATTGTCTTATATTTGTACATGATTATCGTTAAACTTATCATGAATGCTGGTTTACTTGTTGTACTGATTTTCTTGTGTCTAACATGAAATTCGACAACAGCGATTTCCGTACAGATCGATACAGGGATATCTCAAAGAACTACTGCATCTTTAGGATTAGTTGGCGATACTGCAGATGTTAATACTACAACTGTTGGAGGTACTGTTCTTATCGGTGATGGTTCGAATGTCGACGAAGCTTTTCAATGGATGATCAAAAAGGCAGGTGGTGACGATTTTGTTGTGCTTCGAGCTTCTGGTACTGATGCATACAACAGCTATATTTATGGATTAGGTCCTATAAATTCTGTCGAAACTTTACTTATTGACTCTCGAACTTTAGCTAATGATTCCACTTGATTGGTACCGAAATCAAAAACCTGTAAGAGTATACAAAATTCAAGCGAGTGCACACATTTTTGATCTTAGTACATGGGTATATGGTACTGGTGGCAATCATCTATATTACTATGTGCGCGATGGTGTTCTCTATAAAACTGCTTATTGAGTAAATAAAGGTAGAATATGTATGAATAGTTAGTTTATTTTAACCGTTTTGAAATAGCTTGTGATGTGTATAAGGATGTAATACGGAAAAACTGATTCGAAATATAGCTAATAAAAATCGAAATAAGGTTGTAGGTGTGGTTGGGTGTTAATGAGGAGAAAGAAGGCACATGCCATAAATTCACACCCATAATGCTATAGCCGAAATTGACTCGCACAATCAGTGTTTTATTCTATCTTGTGACAAAAGTGGTTCAGAATGTTTTAATCGAAGGCTGACAATGTTTTACTTATTAGCAATGCTTTTAAAATTTGATTTTGGTAGTGCCAAAAAAAACCATAGTGCCTTTATTAAGATTCGCACCTTTGCTTCATCTGAGTATTGAATATGAAAAATTTTTATTATCAAAAATGTTTTATCAATAAGATCTATCCATGTAAAATTTGTTGTGGGTTTAAATTCCAATATACGTGCACGATACCAATGTGATTGATAACCCACAGCAATTATTTGTCCACAGCAATGTGAAGCAGCTGTTGATAGATTTAATGTTGCAAATTATGATGAATCATAATCAACACTACAATAATTATTTTATATTAAAAACAAAAATACAAAAAAACTTACTAAGGTGTTGTTGCATTTGCATATGTTGGATCTTAAGCTTATGCACTACCATGAGCAGCATGTGGAGTCATTGAATCATCATGAAAAGGAGCTTAAAGATATAAATTTGTTTTTCAAACTATATTTCTATAATGAGATGTTTGAAATCCATTATGCATACGTGTTTGATTTGCAATCATTAGTGTAGGTCAACCAACTGTTGCATAAGATGAAGTTTGAGAACCATAAAGAAAAATTGTATAATAATGAGGTATTTCACTTGATTGACGAGAAACATTTCTAAATTAATAAAAAGATTAAATTCATTGAAAATTTTGTTTTTCATTTTAAAAACATACGATGTTGATACAATTCGTTTTTTATCAACTGTAACTGTTTGACAATTAGCTTGAAGGTCAATTTTACATGTTGATTCAGCTTCATCATGAACAATTCCAACATAATCTTTATAGGATCTTTCGAAAATTCTATTTGTTTATCTAATTAAAGGTGCATCAGGAAGAATATTATTTAAGCCTCACAAAAAGATATTTTTACTCTTCCTTTTCCATCTCCGGTTGTAGTTGGTGTTCCACTACTAGATAACAGAGCCCGACATGGATAAATTTTTCGTGACTCAACCCAAACTTGAGTAAGACTCTGGTAGATAATGCTGAACTATTCAAATGTATTGATGAAAAACCGCTTGATGCTATATATGAAGACGGAGATGACATAACACGTGTAAATATATACCCCTGGAAAGCAAAAGTTGAACTTTGTATTTCGAATATATTTGCACTAAAGAAGTACATTTTAAAAATACAAATTACATATTCTGAAAGCCCGTGGAGTTCTCTATCATGTTGTATAATTATGTTTTTGTTGAGATCTATTCGTTACCGAAATAAATTGCATACAACGAAGACACCCCTATATCGCGATTCCCAAAATTTTATTTTTTTTTCTCCAATCTATGATTTAATAATGTTTAATAATTCAAGCAAATTGTGAGAAAAAGAATATTAAACATAAACAATTCCAAAACATTAAGTTTTCAGAGTGCGTCGATCAAATAAAGAAATTTTTATAATCTCGTTCACTTTTATAAAATAAAGTTTTACGAAGGATATTAGTTTAAAATATTGAAAATGTAGGTGTCCATCTGCAAGTTGGGAAA